TTTTCTTTTTAATTTGAAATAATTTTAAAGTTATTTTTTTATGACTCATTTAGTAACATGAAATTGGAATGAGGGAAATGAAATTTTTTAAAAAAAAAAAGTTTGGTACACAAGATATAGGTTCTCAAAGGAACCTGTTCAACCAAAATTGATGGAACTCCCCTATAAAACTAGATTGTATCAAACCTCTCTTTCACTTTTATCATTTTTAATCTTTTCTCATCCCACGATGATCTTTTCGATCTTCTCTTCTCTTCTTTGACGATGACCTACCTTCTTTCTTGATGTTACACATTGACTACAACAATGATAAAGTTATAGTAAAAGTTGAAGCCTGTGGTCAAATGAATAAGAAGGGCTCAATCCACCCACATCATCTCCTCCACCTCTTCCATGACATCTCTCAACTTCATTGTCACCATTGCAAGCAACTCTATTATCTCCTCCTTGAGTTTTTTTTTCAATCTCTAAACCCAACATCAAGTTCATTTTTCTCTTTGATTTCTATCTTCCTTGCATCTCCAAATTTGCACAACAACAGATTTTCTTTAACATGAATGATTATATTCATCTCAGTCCCTTCTAAATCTTCATTGTCAACATGAATAATTTCATTTTTCTTTCATTCCATTTTTTATGTGATTTTCTGTATTCATCTCAACACTTCTAGATCTGTTGGTTTTGATTTTTTTTTTTTTAGATGTTATATCCAACTTGTGGGTCTTTGGTTTGATTTCTTCTTCTTTGGTTCCCATGGCAATTGGTTTGATTTCTTTCTCTTAATTGGTGAGTGGCTGTGTTGAGGTGGTGGCAATGAGAATTATTTAAGGTGGTGGGTAGGGTTTTTTTTATCAAGAGCATTTAAGCCTTTTCACATAATAAATGAATATATTAATTAAAAACATCTCTATAATAAATAGTAATTTTGTATATTTTTATTTTTTTAATTTAGATTTTTAAATGTTTTTTTGAAACTAATTGAGTTTAATTAAATATTATTTAATTTTACTAGTCAATCTTCAATTTTAAAATGTTAACTACATAAATCTTGAATTTTAAAATATAAATGATATTTTCATACATTTGCTATTTATTTTTATCTTATTTATACAGATTTCATGAATCTAATTTAGAAAAAATAGATAGAGATTATTTTATATAAAACAATATAGGCACGTTGAAAATTAAGTTAAGAATAAAATTGCAGAAACTTTATTTATATTTATTTTAAGGTTTTTAATTAGGTTTATTAAGAATGTGTTTGTCATTTTATTAAATTATTAAGTTCTATTTAAGAAGAGACGCAGCACCCAACGCATCACTTGTTTTTAATGGAAAAGAGCACGTTTTTTTAATTGAAAAAGGGAACAGAGGAGGCAGCCGAATAATTTTGAGAAGAGCAGAGGCAACATAGTCGTAGGTGATAGCTCTTTGTCTTTTCTTTCCTTCAGCAGTATACAGTGCTGTTTGATGTTTAGTGCTGCGAAGAGCTAATTTTTTTTTTAGTATAATCAATTATAAATTATAACTTTAAATTTTAATAAAAATCTTTAATATTTAAAGAAAATTTTAGTTTATATTTATTTTAAATTGTTACTCTTCTCTACTCTATTTTTTAATTTTATGCTTTAATTATTATTATTAATTAAAATAATTTTATTGCATGATTTTTAAGTTATATATTTTATTTAAGGTTTTGTTTGCTGTAATCAATTGATATAATAATATAATAGTAATTTGGTTTAGTTTGAGTGATCACTCATGTTTTGTTTCTAGCGTGACTAATATAAAAATAGTTGTTACATTTTGGATTAAGGGAGATTTTAATTAATGTATAACTTAATTTGTTTATTTAATTTTTGAATGCTAATTTAAAAAATATATAATAAAATTAAAATAATAATGTAAATAAATTTAACTTATTTTTGGACAAGGAAGATTAATTTTAAGTAATTGGATTGTGATTGATTGTGTTACTTGTATTTAGTAATTTTCTCAATTCAATTTTTTAATTTATTTAATTTTAATTTATTTTTAAAATTAATTTTATCATAAAAAATTCTCTCGTGATTTAGCTTTTTATAATTCTAATTCAAATAATTAATTCATTAACTCTTAAAAAAATGACTCAGATTATGTTTTACTGTAAAATTTAATTTTTATTAATTTTAGTATTATTTAATAGTAGTTTCAATCTCACTCCCATCATCCTATCAAATATATTTTAAAACTCAATTTTACTTTCACTTTTATTAAAAACTTTTTCATTGTATCAAATGAGGCATTATATTTTTTTAAATAAAATGAAAAAGCCACAGACTTTATGAATACCAACGATCATGCTACTGAAAATTGAGCTTGTCATTGAACATCTGAACCAATCAATTCTCAATTTCAAAAACTAAAAGTCAAAATCATAGTTAAATTGTAATTGCATTGGTTCAAACAAGACATTCTAAACCTACACTAGTCTGGAATGAGTAATGAAATTAGTATAGGTATTACTATATTAGCTTCTTCATGCACAAGCGCAAAAGAATTTTTCATCAAAAGATTGCTGTCCCCTTAAACAATGTTGTTGCTCGGACGGTCTAGTTTAAAATAATCACTTTTTTACTGTGTAAATAAACAAACAGTCTCCGGGGTAGCTCTGCAGTGTTCACTTTTCTCATCGGCTTAAAATATTAAACTCCACATGTCTCCCGATCTTTTAAAATTGATACGTGTAATATAATACTCTATCCAAATTCTTCCGCCTGTCCCTATCAATCCCTTGCGGAAATCACAATTCAATCTTTGTTTTAACCAAGAAGGCTTCTAAGCGTAGAAAATCTAAAAATTAACTACATTATCAACAATTTGCACACGACACAGCTTACAATAGATTTTATATTTAAATTAATATTGAATATTGGTGCGTCACGCCTGACATCGATTCATTCACTACAATCCCGAAAGATTATGAATTTAAGAAACTATCGCTAAGGATAGGTATTTGAGTGGAAAGAGAGGGAATGGTGTAATTTCAACAGGCAAGTACGTGTTATCAAATAATTGAGGTGTGGGTCAATGTAAGGGCTGGCCTGCTTAAAGGTTGAGTTGAAAAAAACACATCCCATGGTAAATAAATGAAAAGGGACCAAGTGCCCAAAAAAAAGGGACCAATTTTGGCCCAAACTATCTAATTTGCAAAGTTTGGAAGCTCCCTACCCTCTCTCTAAACCAAAAATTGAAACATGGATTGCCAATGTTTAAATTCTCACTAAAAGAGTTGTTCACATTTTGTGCTCTACCATATCTCAAACAAAGATCTTCAAAAAAAAAACGTGAAAAAAAATCACTAATTGCAATTAAAAAGCAATGCATTAGGGGTTTTTTTTTTAAAAAAAAAAGAAGGTGTTGGTAGATTGCAGGTTGGGTTAAGAAATTAAGAACACAACTGAGCTGATCCAACCTGACCCATTTATTTTTCCAGTCAATCCAAATGGGCTTCACTGACCCAAATTTAATTGCAATTTTGCCCTGAAAAATTCAAGAATTGCGGCTTTGCTTTCAACACTTCAATTCGAGCTTGAAGAACAAGTTTAATGAGTTAGTTGAGTAGCTTTTGTTTTTGTTTTTTTTTTTAATTTCTTATACTGAACACGTGGGTTTAATCATTAATATTATAAGTGGATAAGCAATAAGATTCTACTTAATATTGGAATAATTTGCTTCGACGCCAACAACAAAAAAAAAAAATCAAAATTTTTGCAGCTAGATTGAAATAGATAAATTGCGAGGATGAATGGCGTGTAAACTTGATCACCATTCATGACGAGCAACTTCCTGGGCATTCAAAAACAGTTTCAAGTATATTTGACAATTTCTTACTCGTTCTGAAAGGGAGGAGGAGCATATGCCATATTCATTTGGGGTTTTCACCTTTTCTTTCATTCTTTGTTAATGGTATGGGTTGTAAAACTGTAATGCTATGTTTGAATATTTAGAGATTTGGATTTAAACCAAATCCGTTGTTTGAGTAGTTAAAAATATATAAATTTAGATTTGATTTAAATTCAAGTTTTACCTCAATTTTTTTATAATTTGAAATCTTTTCTAAACTTTTTTATTTTAAATCTTACTTCAATCTCTTTGTAATTTGATTGACCCGTCTGTGACACTAAACAGGACCAAACTGCCAATGACAACCAGAACTAGACAGCCATCACTGTCACCTACTGAGACCAAATCGTCGGATCGACTAAGATCGGAGTAAAGGCAACGACTGAGACCAAATGGCCAACTTCCACTAAAATCAAACTGCTAGCATCAACTAGTCTTGTCTTAAACCTATCCCATCCCTGTTGGTATAGGTAGTCCTGTTCTAGTTGGCACTAGTGGTTTAGTCTCGGTGAAAGTCAGTTGTCCAGTCATGGTCGTCGCCTGCACTTTGATCTCGATCGGCACTGGCGGTTCGATGTCAGTGGAAGTCAGCCAGTTGGTTTCAATCTTCACCTGCACTCTGGTAGCTATCAATTGGGGCCAACAATTAAGCCCTGGTCAATGCTGACGGTCTGATCCTAGTGGAAGTTAAACTATCTAGTTCCAATCATTGCCTATGATATGGTTTGATTGGAAGTCTGTCATTCAATCTCGATAGGCATTGGCGGTCTAGTCTCAATGAAAGTCGACTGTCCAAACCACCAACTTTGACTAAAATCAAACCACCAAAGTTGTTAAAGCTGCTTTTAAATTCAAACATATAATATAAACTTTGAAATTTTACTTAAGATCCAAACAAAAGATTTTAATATTATAATTTAAAATGTTTTATATTATCTAAACAAAAAATTTAGAATTTATAAATTTCAAATGTAAGATTTTAAATATGAAATTTTAAATCCAAATTCCCAACTTAAATTCACTCATCTAAAATGCAACCTAAAAGTAACAATCCCAAAATGGCACACTTGAACTTAAAACAAAATAGCCAATCAAGACAATGCCTATAGAGCAAGTAAATTGAAAATAAGTAAGAATCTTTTATTCCATAATTCAAGATAGCAACATTAGTCTGCTCTGGCAGTAAAGTTGGCTGAGAAAAATACCAGGGGTCAGTCCTTAGCCTAAAGATGTCGGCTAACCTAGTTGATATTGACCTAGACATGCCTTTCCATGGCCATGTGAAGCAATCACATTTACAAACTAACTGTTTGAGGTACGGTAACTTCTAATCACTGACTACTAACTACAGTTAGTGCTTCTGCTGGTAGTAGTAGCAGCATTTGTCAAATACTTCGCTCATATCATACCATGGAAACCGGCTGAATCCAACAGAACTGCTTTGATTTGCTCAGGGACCACGTCAAGCCCTTCTCTGCAATGCTGTTAGGCAACAAGAAAACACTATGAATCTGAAAAATCTTGAGATTTCAACATTTTTTCTTCGTCAAGTCAACTTTTAATGAGCTTAAAGATTAAACATCAACTCGTCAACAAGAAGCACTCTTTTCACAGGGAACCATACATTTTTTTCAGTACTAAAACAAACATCCCTCTGCTTTGCAATACACCTAATCACCTATAGCAAGTTAGCGACAGCCAAACGGGCACACTTAATATATGTGGGTGAAGCTAAAATAGTTCTGAGAAGTGTGAGATTTGATTCTCAGACTGAAGTGACAGGTCCGCTTCTTGGTCCACCAATGTCCCACTATCAAGACATTTTCCCTTCATCACAACCCAGCTCATCCAACATTTCTCATTTTTAATTCTTTAGACACTATGTTTCAGAATATGAGCCTTGATGTAAAGTACAACCAACAAAGTCTAGCAGAAATTGGTTGTTCGTTAATTTAAATTGGCTAAAATTTTCCACTGGAAGAATTTTGGTGCACTTCAGCATGAAACCAATTTACAGAATCGGTTTTTAAATTTGTGATGTAAATAGAAGTAGGAATCAAGCATCAATATTGGAGGAATGACTGAATATGTTATGGGTCATGAACAAATTGAATTTAACAACAGGTGTCATTTAAAAAGTAACCAGAGAAACATTGCCGTGATGCTAGCATACCTCAGCTCTGAACACGTCTAAAGCAAAGCCATTGAAACAGCTTATAACGGCCTGCTGCACATCTAGACCAAGGTTGTCCAAAGCCTTCATGGTGGAAAGCAGAAGACCTGGCCTGCGGGCACAAAACATATGGATGTTGACAGCTCTCCCTTCCCTCACTCGAACCTCCACCTATAAATTTCAGAAACACAACAGTGAGGATCAAGAGCAATATCTGCAATGACCTTGCAAATAAAAAATAGGCATATCGATGGCTGCACTTGTTATATTTTGATTTAGCTTTCATTCGAAGATAGTAAATTGAGATTTTATGAAAATAATCAACAGAACCAAATGTTACATCTATAAATGTTTGAAAATGATAAAGAACTAAAACAAAAGGAAAAAAGAACGGTGAATTCAACTGTCCATCACACATTCACATGTAAAAAGTCAAATGCCGCATGCTATGTGTCAGTGCCCATACTTCACATAATGACACGTATATTTGATATAATTGTGCTGGACAATTCGCATACTGAAAGCACAAGCATCCAAGGTACGCAGTCAGATCCTTAAAGTTGTATTCCTAATGGATGTAAAAATAACCAACATTATTGAGTCCCAAAAAACCAGCACCATTAAGAAAAGATGAAGACAAAGCAAAAGAGATGATGGTAACAAAACCAGATTCAGGCAGTCATCCTTTCCTAATAAGAATAGACATGCAGGATTACGCGGTTTCTCTGCACCAGCTATATAGAATATGGGATACATGAGAGGATCGCATGACAATCTCAATTGAGGAGATAAGAACCTTTGATCTTCATTAAAATTGTATGTATAAGGAAGAGACTATATTACATTAGCATGCGAATAAAAATATCAATGCACACTAACTCAATAACTACGCTGCCTGCTTTTTTATTTTGCTATCGGCTGTCATCATTAAAATCTAGTGAGATATGGAGTCACCACACAGGGAATATCACTCCCATCATCCTTGATCATTCCAACTATCGAAACATGCCCAAGTGATTCAGCATGCATTTTCTAACTTTGGAAGATTACATGGTAATGGAATTTTGAAATTTGTTAGAGAAGGGTTATGTTTGCTTAAGGGGTTTGTTGGCAAACGGTATGCATGAGCATTTCCATAAACCCATTTTTTGGGCTTCCCGGTTGTTTGCATAGAAATGGTTATTATACATAGTTTAAGTGGTGTTCTACTGGTAATCTGGCCCCCAGTGTGTGTTCTTTCTTGTGGCACCAAGAAATAGCCATCATGCTTGTGACTGTAGTGTAATTTCTTATTTAACTGAGGTCAATTTGCTTAAGTATACTATACTAGTCACAGAGGGTCAATGGAGAGTTACAGCGAAAAAGGAAAGAAGGAAGATAAGGTAGGATGGAATGAGGAAAGCGAGTAGTTTCTGAAATAGTATGTAGTGTTGATTTATTTGCACGTGAAATTCTCTCCATGATACATTCAAATTTAATAAAGGACAACGGTTATAATCTCCTCACATGAGTAAATTCGTATCCTGAAATATCATGTATGATATCCTTCTCTCAAGATTTTTCTTCAAAAAGATAGAAATTGAAATTAGGCAAGCAATTTCATGGGCTAGATTGTCCATTTCCAGACAGAAAAACTTCCAAGATGGTATTTGCAGTACATAATTGCTGTCATTGACATCCGTCTTCATTATAAAACAGATAAAACATGGTATGCCATTATGTTGTTTAGCGAGTAATTATCAGTTATTAACTTCAGCTTGTTTTACCCCCAACAAGAAAACTTTAGCTTGAGTTTCCAAATGGCAAAATGCAGCACAAATGTGAAAAGAGTCAACGGTGCAATCCTCATACTCATCCTGTTAATGAAATGGGTCAGCAGTCCACATTCACAGAATATTCAGACCATGCAATTCAATGCTCTTGGCAAGAAGGCACAATATATTATGCAACTCAAAAAGCAACAAGCGTCACAAGCGTAAATTAAGTGCCCTATAATTTCGCACACACACTGCAAACTACATACATTTATTAAGGCAATTTCAACTGTGGCAGCCATTAACTGTTTGCGGCAACAGACTACTATAATGTAATTGAAGATGGACAATTTTGCTTCAGAATGAACAAAGATTACCCTTGCAGCTTGGTTTTTGGGACTTGGCAAGGAGCTAGGGCAAAGCTCTTCCTTGATCCGACAGGGGAGTGTTGGTGGAGTGGGTGTCAAAGGGTGAAAGCTTGTAGAAGATGGTGGCAATGAGCCAGGCGGAGTTGACTCCAGCTCGTTGTGAAGATTATTAATCCGCTGCAGCAGCTCCTTCAAGTAGTCAATCGCATCCCCGAGTATCGAAGCCCTATCCATCTGTCAGCAAATAAAAGAGGATTAGTATGTAGTGAGTGAGCTGTTCAAATTAAGAACCTGCCCAATGACTAGAGCCGCAACAACATAGATTAAATTTCAGGGTCCTAAAACTTGTCGTGAAAATAACATGTCAAGCTCCTCAGACAGGAGAGATGGTATATCGTTTCTCACTACAGGAGCTACCACGGTACAAACTTTACTTCAGTCAACCTTCTACCAATGAAAGGACGTAAAAGTTGTGCTTTGCTGTCTAACAATTATATGCATAGTTCTCAGCAGGCCCTTAAAATCATTTAATACTTATAAAATGGCAAAGTTTAAACCATTCATTTTTTGTATACCCATAGTAGTTATAATTGATAAGTCTAAACAAAATGGTTCAAACAAAATAAGCATACCTTGCTAATCTTCGGCACAACTGATCTCAGCATGTACAACCTATCATTTAGTTTCTTTCTTCGCCGCCTTTCAGCCATCAGATTTTTGGCTGGTTGCCCTTTTTTCTTCCCCTTCTGGTCTCCACCACTGACAGAACTATTGGCATTATAGTTGCTCCCCACATTATAAGCATCCACCTCTATTTTACCATTCTCATTAAGCTCATCAGAATCATAGTTCAGCCCTGATGCGTCGATGGCAGCTTCCTCTTCTACGACTCCCTTTCTCTTCCTCTCCATGTTCTCCAACCTTGTTGAATAATTTTCAAATCTCGACGCTGAAATCTCCAAAGTTCCCAATCTATCAATTCCATGTGAACTATTGCGGAGCGCTGCTCGCTTCTGAAAGAGAGTCGGTGCCGCACCCACTGGAGGGGAAACTTCAAGAGGTCGCAAAACCTTAGACCGGTTCAACAACAGAGCACCTCCCGGATTATCAAACCCTCCTAAACCCGCCGGACAAAATCCGCCACCTAACGAGACGGCATTGTCAGCTGCTGGCAGCAGCCGAGTAGCTAGAAACTCAGAGTTTGAGCTCAGTTCGTGACTGCCCATCTGGGAATGAGTATCCAAGCCCGAGAAATCCGACAAAACAGGGGAATTCGAAGAATGAATTCCCCGGAACGGACCAAGGAACCCACCGTCAGAGCTCAAATCGAAGCCATTGTCAAAAGGGTTGTCGCAAATGACATTGAGGATGGAAGGGAAACAAGATTTCGGCTGTAAAAAGTGCTGTGACTGCGATGGGTCAAGAGTGAATGATGGTGAACAGGAAGACGACGAATCCACTGGCTGTACTAAAAAACTATGAGCTGGGTTTGAACAAAGGACGATATCAGTGTTTTCTTGGGGATTCGGGAGGCTGAGGAGGTCTTGGTGAGCTAAATTGATAGCGGAGTTCATGAACCAGTCACCTTCGAGCATGGATTTGAAGGAGGTTAGAGGGCCACCCAAAACAATGTCGTCGTCCTTGAGTTCACCGTCGTTGTTAGTTCTGGTCCAAGAGGCTTCGTCTTCAACCTTCCCTTCCATCCAAGGGACGATGTTTACTATCGGTGGCATGTCTCCCTCCATTGCGTGAGAGCGCGAGACAGAGGAGAGAAGAAAGAGCGAGAGTGTTTCGATGAGAAAGGTGGTGAGAATCTTGAGGTGTTAGAGAAGGGGAGCATTTGGATGGAGGGAGGGATATTCGATGTCGAACGTTACTTGTGTGATGAAAATGAACGGCTGCTGTTTGCTTTTACAATATCTACTGTGCGCCTTATTTTATCTGCGATGTTTCAAAAAATTATTGAGTACCCGTGGATTTTATGCCCCGTGCTTAACCCTCGTATCTTTAAATCTTTAAAATAAATAAATAAAACGAAAAAATATTTTAATAAGTTTAAGTTTTGAAAAAATGGACAAATATGTTACAAAATTTTATTTGAGGGATTAAAAAAATAAAAATTACCTTTCTAGCCACATTTTTCCATGTTTTTCAAATCAAGTCACTAACATTAAAAATACCGTCTCCCAATCATTTCCTTTTATCCAAACAAATCAAAAAATTAATAAAAGTTAAATTATGTGATAGAAGGCGTGAAATAAAATTGTACATGTGGTTTCAGATCAAAAAATATAATCATAATAAATAACTATGTATTTTTATTCCCCTACTGCATATTTGTGACTATAAAATAAGATAAACAATAATTTTTTTATTATAAAATTTGTTATCCCATGTATAATCAAATATAGATAACAATTTATTTTAATCTACGAATTGTTATATGCATTTGAATTAAAATTTTAAAATATATACTCCCTCCGTTTAAAAATATAAAGCATTTTTAATCATATCTCATTCTTAATATAGTAGTTGCCTACTTTTAAAATAACCCTATAGTTTCATATTTACTCCTATTAAATACTTTATAATAAATATAAAGTCACTATCAATAGGAATATTTTTGAAGAAAAAGCATTGATTAGATTTTGAAAGATTAAAAATATTTTACATTTTTTAACATCTAATTCTTCAAAAAATGGCTTATATTTTTAATGGAGGGAGTATCTTGTTTCAGAATTTTTTATTTTGTTTTAGTATTGGTTGCCTATGAAGAATAGGATAAATTAGTCCCTTAATCAAAAAATCTTGTAACCACAAAATATGAATTAAATTTTAAAATTTTAGAAATATAGCCGATTTACAATATACAAAAAAATTGTTATTGATATGTCAAGGATTTATCATTAAAATTTGAAAATTATAATGAGTTTATTGTTGATATACACTTGTATATCATTGATAAATGTAATAAATTAATTATGAATTTATGATGTAAAATATAATAAATATTGGGTTATCTGCTTGGCTTAATCCTATAACATAAATTATATTTGCAAAAGCCCTAGAAGAATATAGATAGAAATAGAAAGATAAAAATCAATCCCTGTTAAGAGAGATGCTCATATTTAATATTCGATCATATTTTAAATGAGATTATCTCCAATATAAAGATATATATAAGCAATAGAAAAATATACATAACAATTTGTTTCATCCCTGCACAAATTTTTTAAAATTTGATATCACATGAATGTAAAAAATATAAAAAATTTGAAAATATAACTTTAAATCTTTACACTTTGCTTGAATTTTATACAGGTCCCAACACTTTTCTTTGATGCTCTAAGTCCCTATAATATTACTCATGGAGAGATTTGAAATACCAAAAAAAAGTATAGGGATTCAAAATATAAAAAAAAAGTGCAAAGAGCTATAGTAAATTTGAGCAAAGTGCAAGAATTTAAAATTATGTTTTTTTATAATTGTTTAAACATGATCCCTACATGAATTAAAAATTAAAATTTAAAAAACATATTACAGTTAAAAATTTATTACATGTAAATAAAAATAATTACTTGTTTTATTCAAATATTTCTTATCTCCTTTTACCATAAAAAAATAAGATTTCTTACCTCCATGCATGTAAAAACTGTTAGAGTTAAGATGTAATTTTGCTTTTGAATTTTTTCCCTATGAGTAATTTTATCTCTATATTTGTAAATGAGGTAATTGTACTCTTAAATTATTTTTTTGAGCAAAAAGTTGCACCTTGACCCAAAAGGTGGTTTTTTAACATGGTTAATTCAAATATTGTTCAACACAGTTTAAGATAGCTCTTTCAAAAATATTTTTTACATTCACACAATTTTTTTATTATAGAGTTTTTCACCTTGTCAGCATCTTTTTCTATTTTATAACTTGTCATATTGTTTATATTAAAAACACATATGACATATTTTATAAACAAAATTTATAAGCCTTGCACTTTGTTTATTAAAATTTAAGATTAAATTAGAACATGCATAAATGAAAAATATATTAAAATACTGCTACTCAATACAGATGACAACTCATTATGTTTTATAATTTATTACCTTATGCATATTTAAAAAGAAAAATAAAACTTTAGTCCTTTAAATTTGTCGCAATAACAATTTAGTTCTTGAAGTTTATTACTTGAATAAAAAGTGACATGTTATTAAAATTTGCTAACATATGTGAAGCATATTGAATTGGCAACCGCATAAATCAATGATAAAATCAAATTGACTTAAAGACAAATTTATTTTCACTTAATCATATGTAACGTGTTCAAGTCATTAAATTCAAATCATATTATAAAAACATGTTTATAAGCAAAATTGTCACATGGCTTGTTGTTATTTCTTATAAGCGAAACAATAATTTTCAAAAAGTAACCAAGACATCCTTCCTTAGCTACTCTTCATTAAATGTTAGTATCATTAAACTAGAGGGAAATAAAATGTTAAGTAAAAGCACATCTTAATTCAAACTTTTTAATTTCAAATATAATTATTAAGATTAACTAATTTTTTAAGCCATGTGGATTGATTAAAATTTGATTGTATATAAAAATGAATGGACATAAATTGATTGATTTAAATAATAAAATATTATATTTTATAATTATTATTTAAATTTGTTAGTTATACGCAATTAATTATCGTATACATAATACAAAATACGAGCAATAAACGATAAGTCTCTTACACTCAGAAAAAAAAAAATTAAATCCCATACATATTATTTTTACCATGAGTTCCATGTCTTCAAACATTTTTTTTTTTTTAGTATGAGATCTGAATCCCACATGAATTCTTAATAAGCAAGGATTGAATTTTAAAAAATATCACGGTCACGATTTATCCAACTATAGACGAACAATAATCATTACAAACTTTACAAATATATAAAATAAGATACGATATGATCGCCAGAACAGCCAAAATAAAATTGCTTGGTAAAGAGTTAAAGTAATATTTTTTTAAAAAATGAGTTCGATTGAGTTATTATATCTTTTCTGTATACACTGTTCCCTATCCATATAATATATATCATTTATATGTGTGTTGTTGTTTGGCCAAAAATAGATAAAGAATATTAAAATACGCGCAATAATTAAAATAAAATAATCAAAATGTAAACAGTATACTTTTTAATCTCATAAAATGTCGTATACAATGAACTATAAGAACAAATTATTATATGTTGAATGGAAATTTATGAAGAGAATATTTTATTAAATATAAACAGTCTGATGTGAAAAAAAAAAAAACTTTATTAGTCGCTGTGAAAAGATATCGAGAATAAAGCCTATCTGGTTGTCATTGCCACCCTTTAATTCCATTGTTATATAAAATTCACCATGAGTCATAATACTCACGTATCATGAATAATGAGTTATTTTTAATTTTTGCGTCGTATCAAAAAATATATCAGGATTTGTAGCCACGTAAAGCCTTTGGACCGGGGCAAGTTCTCATCACTATGCACCCGAAATTCGAAAGCATGGTTTTACAAGGCATAAAGTAATAGTATGCATAATGTATATAATAGGAAGAATGATATTTAAGATTCCTTTAAGAGAATTTATTGCAATCAAAGTTTTTTAGTTTTGTATTAGATATAGTTCTGTAAAAACATGCATACGTTGTTCTTAAAAGGTGAGCGGCCGAAACTAAATGACGAGAATTCGATTTGGTCAGGCCGTGAACTGAATATTCCATTTAAATTAAGCAAATATTATTCTTGAGACTAAGCAAACAGTAATGCACAGTGGGGCCTGGGGCGTCCTTGGTTATGGTAAAGATAACGAAGAATCTAAAGGCATCATCAGTCTTCAATGAGATCACAGACTTATTCCATGCTCGTCCTTTGCAATTCCTGTTTGCTTAAATCTTTTTGAAGCATCTCTGACCTGCCTCCCTATGTTCATATATTCAATTATTCATGAGAGAGAAACAGAATAAGCCACTGGGGGACCAGAAAACGATCCGGGTTGAAATTTTTTCACCACACTCGCAAAAGCCAATTTGGTCTCCTCCTCGTTCTCTCTCACCGAGTATCCAAAAGTTCCACTAGGACCAATTAATTATGCAAGTGTTGTTCCCATTCTTACCTTGTATGTATTCCACGTTCCGAATCAATCAAAATCAGGACCAAACGTTGATTCGAATTCCAAGCTTTTGGAATAAATTTTCCACGAGAATTGAGAAATTCCAAGGTTCTCGTGACCTTGTATATTGCTTTTTAAAATTGTTCTCTTGGTTCTCTTCTCGCCTCACCTACTCCCCAATCAGATTTAGCTCTCATTCCCAATTCCCTCTCTTTCTTCCCTCCACGTTCTACAAAAGCATGAAATTTGAAAACCACGAAGCAAGTTTTAGAGAAGAGGACGTGTTGTTTTATTTGGGGTCGCTTTTATTCTGCCTACGAGGACTTTCATCCAACCCAAGACAACGACATCTACAGCAGGTTCATGCATGAAAAAGCAGGCCAAATTTTTTCCTCCCTAAACTGATCCCAAATTGAAAACTGTCGTCCTCCGGTCATCAAATTTGCCAATTTTTCAGGAACCCAAAAAAAAAAAAAAAGAGAGAGAGAGAGGCTCGGACATTGAGCAAAATAACCCGACACCATTATCTGGTATTCTGGTTCCGTCTTGTTCTGTAACGCCCAAAATTAACAACCTAAGATTAGCATGCTTTATTGGCTGTAGCGTGACGGCACCGTAGGGATGTTGGATGTCACACGTGGCGCACATGCGATTATGAAATATATTTAAAAGTGTGAGATGTCTTGCAAAACTATTGGAAAAAAAAATGTGTTATACCAAATTGTTAGCCTTATTTTATAAATACTAAGATGCTTTG